TTTCGAGGACGCAGGGCTGGGCGCCATCTCCCGGCCCTGGCTGGGGCATAGGGCGAGGCTGGACTTTGAGGACGGTGGTCTGGATGCAGGTCCCGGGCCCTGGCCGGGGCATGGGGCGAGGCTGGGTTTCGAGGTCGACGGGCTGGGCGCCATCTCTGGGCCCTGGCCGGGGCATGAGGCGAGGCTGGGTTTCGAGGTCGACGGGCTGGGCGCCATCTCTGGGCCCTGGCCAGGGCACGGAGCGAGGCTGGGCTGGGCATGGATGCCTCAGGGCTGGGCTTGAAGGCCGCAGGGCTAAGCGCTGGGACCCGGCTGGGCTCAGAGGCCACTGACAGGGCCTCAGGACTAGCCTTGGACTTCACGTGGGGCCGAGAGCGTTGCGTTGTTGGTCGCTGAGGTAGGTCTCTGACGGCAAGATGTGGACGCCAAGGAGCTGGGGGAGGAAATCAGAGAGGCGGGCTGAGGCATGGAGAGCTCGGGCTAAGGGGCGGGGCGTGAGGCTGGGGGCGGGGCGTGATGCGGCGTGGCTGGACTGGTGGCTGAGCACTGAGGGGCGGTATGGTGGCCGAGGGGGTGGGGCGGAGCGGAGCTGAGCACGTAGACGGAGTGCTGGGGCTGGGCGCGGATTGGGGGGGGGGACACGGAGATCCAAGACAGGGCGGAAGCAGGGTGAGGGTCACTGGGCGGAGCAGACCTGAGGCCTAGGAGCAGGGTGGGGCGCAGATGGCGGGGCTTCCCTAATTGTTTGGGCTCACCCACTTGGCGGTGGTACCTAGCCTTTTCCTAGACCTGCTTTGCATTCCTACAGCATCTTTGCCCTACTCAACTCCTTCACTCTGCACTCAGTGCCCTCCCTGCAGCAGACTCTTCCTCTGGGCTGTGCTCAGGCCACTGCCCTCTGTTCTCATTGCTCTGTGCTCTTCTCTCAGCTGGCCTCTATGCAACTGGGTGGCTCCCCATACTCTGCCTAACTCCTCATACCTCTGCCTAGAGGTCTCCGTTGTCTCAGCATCTTTGCCCCCCTCCTCCTCCTCCTGTTCGGACCCCTTAACGCCTGTATTTTGCTGAAGTGCAGCATATGCTTCCTCAATCTTTCGGTCACCCTCCTAGGGTTTCACATCTTTCACATCCTAATTCTTGATAATTCCCCCTTGACGGCCAAGGCTCCTGGCTAAACCTTGTATAATCTACCTGTAGACGCTTGTAGGAATGTAATAGGAGCTTTTGCCTTTTGGAGAACTTGCTAAGCTTTCAGGAAATGGAACTATGACCAATGTGTCTCATCATAGTCGTCAATTCCCTTCTCCCCCACCCACTTGGGTGCTTTTTCAGCCATTCTAGCCCACTCTAGTTTCAAACTTGGTATCTTCCTGGAGGCTGGATTTAGAGGTTTGCATCACCATGCTCAAATTAAAAAAAAATATTTTTTGAAACCCAGTCTTTTGTAGCCCAGGCTAGCATCTGCCATCTTAATGAGACTTATGTCTCTGTTTGAATCACCACGCCTAGCTTTTAATTTTTCTCGTTTTTTTCTTTTTTAGTGTTTTGGGGAGGGACTCTTTCTCTGTCAGCCTTGGCCAGCCTAGCCTTGAATTAAAAAATTTTCTTGCTTCAGCCTCCTGAGTGCTTAGATACCAGGCAGACAGGCATGTGACAAAGTTGCTATGTTTGGCTGCTGCTTTTAAAGACCTGATCTTGTTGAGTAGCCCAGGCTGGGTTCCAATAATAGCAAGCCATCCTAGTATCCCGCCCTGTGGTGTGCTGATTATAAGTGTGGTCATGGTGTGGATGTGTTCCAGGTTTTTGTTTTTTTTTTTTCCTGACAGAGTCTGGAACTTGAGTACACAAGGCTGGCCCCCATCTCAGAAATCTGCCTTTCTTTGTCTCCTGAGTGCTGCGGCTAAAGGCATGTAGTATCTGCTTTTTTTTTTTTTTTATAGCCCAGACTTGTCTAGAAGTCAAGATCTTTATCCTCAGCCTCTGGACAGTTGGGATTACAGGTGTGCAATGTGCCACTGCAACAAACTGGTTCTCCTTTTATTTTTTAATGTGTGTGATTTGTTTTTAAAAAGATTTATTATGTGTATGGTGTTTGCCTGTGTGTATGTAAGTGTACCATGTGCATGCAGAGTGCATAGAAGTCTGAAGTGGATGTCAGATACCCTGGAACTGAAGTTATGGATGTTTGTTAGATGCCACATGTGTTCTATGAACAGAACCAGGTCCTCTGCAAGAGTAGCTACTGCTTTTAACCATTGAGCCATCTCTCCAGCCTCTCCTTTTAAAATTATTTATTTTGTTTTTATTTTTTATGTGTATGAATGTATTGCCTGTATGTAGGTACGTGTACGCTACCTACAATACCCATGTGCAATACCTATGGAGGTCAAAAAAGCATGTCAGATCCCCTGGAACTGGAGTTATAGAGGGTTATTAACCTTCATATGGGTGCTGGGAATCGAACTCCGGTCCTCTGCAAGAGTAGCTTGTGCTCCTTAACCACGAAAGTGTCTCTCTAGCCCTTCTTTTCTTTTTTGAGACACGGTTTCACTATGTATGTCAGGCTGGCTCTGAACTCACCATGTAGTCTAGGCTGCTTTTAGAGTTCCATGTTTTGGGACTGCAGGCAGATACCACTGTCATGTCCTCCTTGTTTCTTTCTTTCCCTCTTTCTATATTTTTTTCAATTTCGTTCTTGATTTGGTTCTCCTTTTTGTTCTTTCTTTAACCCTTTCTCTTCCATCTCTCTGTCTCCCTGTATCTCTTTGTCTCTCCTCTTTTAAATTAAAAAAAATATTTGCGTGTTTGCTTGCACACACACAAGGGTATGTGTGCCCTGGCATGTGTCCAAGTGTGGAGATCAGAGAACTTTGTGGGGTCAGTTTTCTCCTTCCATTTTTACATGGATTCTGGGATCAAACTCCTGAGTTTGGGCCTAGCGGGCAAGTGCTCTTATCTATCCTCTGAGCCATATTCCTAGCCTTCTCCTCTTTTTTTTTAAAAAAACTTATTTATTTTGTATGTTTCTCACTTTTTTCCCAATTTTTTCTTGTCTTTCCATTTTTCTCTAGTCTTTATCATTTTCCCTGTTTGTTCTTTTGTTTCTCTTTCCCTGTTTTTCTCCCCTTGTCTGTTTTTCTTCCTTTATTTCTTCCCCTTGCCCATTGATTTTGCCCTTTCATTCTTTTCTTTCAGCCACTTTCTCTCCCAATTTCTTCTCTTTCCTTCATCCTCCCTCCTTCCCTCCCTCCCTTCCTTCTGTTTCCTCCACCTCCCTAAATCTCCATTCTGTCCTCTTTCACCCTCTCCTCTCTTCTTTTCTCCTTTTCCTTTTCTCTTTGCTCTCTTCCACTCCTTTTTGCTCAATCTTCAGCCTGTTCTCTCTCTTCCTCCTTTTTTCTTCTCTTCTGCTCTTTCTTCCCCTATCTTACCTTTCCTCTCACGTCTTCTCACCCATCCTATTCTTTCTCGCCTTCCTTTACACCACTCCTTCTCTCCAGCTCTCACTTTCTCTCTCCCCTCCTCTGCCCTCCCCTCCCCTCCCTTCCCTTCCCTTTCCATTTTTTTCCTCCTTTCCTTTCTTATCTTGTTATGTGGCTGAGTCTGGCCTGACACTTAACTTGAAGATCACGTTTTCCTGGAACTCACAGGTGATCCTCCTGCCTATGCTTCCTGAGTGCTGTGAATACTGAGTGTGTGTGTGTGTGTGTGTGTGTGTGTGTGTCTGTGTGTGTGTCTGTGTGTGTACCATTACTCCCAGATGTCT